CATATCATTATACATTTTTTTTAATGTTGATAAATTATTATGTGATTATTATAAAATTTCAATCGTTCTAAAAATCAAACCCTGTCTTTTTATGAAAGTGCCAACAAAATTCTACACGATCATCAATGCCGTGTCTCCAGACATTGATTTGTAATAACCAATAATGATTTAAATGACCAGGTGTTTTCTTAGAAATGAGGATGTCGGGATCTAGGCGTTTCTTTGGAAGTCTATTAAGTCTCCTACACCAAATTTTTTGGACCTTGAATGAGATTTGATAGATCATTTATGATAAAAAATTGTGATCTGAGAAACTAGATAACGGCGGCTGAACTTGGAGACATTTCAAATCTCATTGGAATAAATATTCCTTTTGTCTCAAATTTTATTACATTCCTGATCCTTCTGGTTTCAAAAATAATTTAGTTATATTGTATGTATATTTTTTAAATTTGTATGTTAATTTAGTGAAACGTGCGTTTTTTCGCCGAAACAACATTATTAGAACATTAAACTTGTGCGTAGAAGTTGAATACATATAGGTATAGGTAGGGGATTTTTATATTAATTCTATCAGATAAAAACTATTGTTTTTGTTTCACTTTACCAAAACAAAAACAGGCCGCAACCTTACATATCTCTTGATTAAAAATAATCATGTTTATATTTTACAAATTTAGCAACGATTTAAATATTAAGCATATGGTAATAGGATTAGTTTGACGCACGCAAACGTCATGAAAATTAGCAGGAACTGATGTATTATGATTAATAATAATATATATAGTATAAGTAATATTAATGAATGTCCATTATCAAAAAGTGCCATTTACACAAGCGCCGAAATCTGCATATATGTAAACCGATTCCAAATAAGTAATAATTAACTTTGTTGAAAAATTTTAACCAATAGTTAAAAAACAAATTTTGAGAATGGTAAAATATTACCAACACTATGTTATATTTAATTATGTAAATGGATATTATAGATAAGTTATGGATAAATAAGTGTGTATATTTCCGCGTTTGGGTTTGACAAAAGTTTAACAAAATTTATATATTTGCAGAATCATACTAGTTTTCTTCAAATTTTATTCCCGAAGCATTTGAAAAAGTAAATCTGAATTCATATGATTTTTTGAGACCTTAATCAGAGGTCCCGGGTTCGATACCCACTTCGAGCAGCCTGTTGTCAGGCAGCAGTGACAACGATTTTTACTTGGAAATATAGATAGCAATATGTTTCCAAGTGAAAATAGCCCTTGCCCGGCATTGCTGCACCAATAAAAAGTCAGCCCTATTAGATTAATTCTAATAATCAAAAAATTATCAAATATGGATGGATTAACTATTGGGTTACCATCTAAAAAAATACGAACTAAGGAGAAGTTTCAGCCCAACAGCTCATAGGACGTAAGGTTCTGATTGCTGATTCTGATTGCTGTTAAAAATATAAAAAAAGAGATTTTTTGGAATACCCACAAATTTTTCTTTGATTCATTTATATCAGTTTGTATGAAACAATACAAAATATTGCTTGAATGAATTTCAAGTTTGAAAAAATTTTTTTTTACTAATTTCATACAATAAAAATTGTCGAATACATCAGAAATGGTGCCAATTGATCATTTATTTTAACAAATGTAGTTCAATTGCATATTAACAAATAAATTTAAAGTTGATAAAAATATTAACAAACTAGTTCAATTGTACGTTTGTTTTCCTAGTTCGATGTGTTAAATAGTGGCATACATGTTGTCAAATATTTTTTAATATGTAAAATTTGAGAAATAAGATGCAAAGATTTTGAAAGATATATAGATTATATATCAAAAATGTATCATATATGGACATAACGAATAACGATCTGAAACCAAGAACAAATGAGAGTATATCGTGTCTAGAATTTCATAAAAATTATACATAATTTAACTAAATATACGTGTTTATATAATGGTAATTAAACATATGTAATTATATTTATATTTATTTTTCATGGAACCCCGTCGAAATTCCTCCCCAGGGTTCCGTAAAGTTCCTTTTTTCGTTCCGAAAAGAGATGACCGCATTTGGTTTCACAATCAGCCTCGTGCTGAGTTAGAGTCTCCAAAGACATGTTTATTGACACTTTTCTTTTGTTCTTCGGCGGTAAAGATCCTGATTAGATCGAAAACGTTTATCTCGAAAATTATAGATTGTTTTAATTAACCAGAGAATTATAAAATTATTATAAAAAATATATGAGCGGTCGATAGTTAAGGCTACGAGCGTCTAATTTATGATCGGATGAGAAAGACGGCTCATCGGTAAAAAGAGACTTTCGATAGATGTTTACTACGATTTCTTCATATTTTATTGTTTTAGTAGAATTGCGATACGCTATTTTAATAAATTCAATCATCAAATAAAATATTGATAAATTTATGTCATCCTCAGTGGTATAGATATGGTCATCTAAGTAGCCATATTATGGCCATCTAAGTAGTCAAAACATTTAGAAAAATTGAAAGTTTCAATTTGAAACCAATAAAAAACAATTCATATTTATATTATATATAAGCAGGCTAATCATTATTAATAAGTGTTAATTTTTTCTTATTGATGTTATCATCGTCATTAATGTCTATATTGAGACGACGTTAACATAATGCAGCTGTCTGCGGATTATTATAGGAACTCTCATTAATATAGGAAGCAAATTAATTAAAAGTTTAATAAAAAAATTGAATGCACTCAGTAATTAACTTGATACATTAATGTGTTTAATTACAAAAAATAAGTTGGTGAATAATTAAGCCAGTAAAATATTCAGCTAATGTACGACATCCCAAACCGATTTGCATAGTCTGCAACATTTATAATTATGCGGGTGCTAGCTTTGCGATAAAGTTAATTTCACTGACAATTAATTCATAAATATTTACAGTTCCAAGTGTTTCAAAGTCAGGCAATGTTACCTTTAATTAGATACCTCTATCAAGAACGAATGCCTTGAATAAAATTACACATGTTAAATACTAAGTTATCATATCGATTATTAGGAATATATTAATAAAATCAATATAAACACGTTGTTGAATTAGCGATGCAAATCGGAAAATAATATTGGGAATTTAGGAAGGTGCTTTATGCGTCAACCTGGAATTTTTATGGCGATGATAAATTATATGCGTGAAAGTTTTTTGTTAAGCCAAAGCGATTTGATAGAAACAAAATATTCAAGTTGTTTTGAATCGTTTGAGCAAAAAGAAAACAAAAAATAATATGTAAACTACGTACCAGCAATATTTTTAAGTTTGTTATACAAAAATCGTTACTTGTTGGAAGGAAACAATGTATCGAGTAAGTCCAACATTTTAAATATGATACTCGAACTTTCATATTAAGACAGCAGATTTCATATTAGATATATAATAAATAGAGTGAACAAATAGAAACTAATGATAAATAAATAAATTATTCGTATTGGCGAAGAAAAAATAACTAAAAACATTGTGTATATATACAAACGTAATTTGCAAGTTGTCCTGTCTAAATCAAAGTAAATATGTGTAGAATATATTACTATATTACACATTTCCATGTTTGATTATGCAAAATACAGAAAATAAGTAATATATTCCGATAATATCAAGTTCTTGATTACCGGTATTCTTGAAATCTCTTATATGGCAAAAACTTGTACAAATATATTACAGAAGATATTAATCAAAAACAAATGATATAGATCAATTCGTTGATGTATTTTATTATTAATGTCAAGTGACAATTGTAAACGACCGAATTAATTAATAGTGATAAAAGATTAAATATAAATGAATTGATAATTGGAAGAAAGGTCTAGGAAACAGGATATTTCTATATATCCTTCATATTTATTATAAATACATATATAAATATGTTTAATTTTATGTAAGTGTTTAGAAATTTACATATATAAATATTTAGGGAATTCAATTACTATTGTAATATATTTTGGGATAATATACAATGCAAATCATTCTATATTATTCATACGATAGAAATTAATATTAGATTATACACGATTTCCGGAAACAAAAATCTAGTATGTACTTGATTTTTAATTCAGATCAAAAGTTTACAAATGAGAATATTTTAAATTATTTTTAAATTGTGCAATGTATAAATTTAATCGAATCTTAGGTACTTTAAATTCAAATTTATTTTACGATTTCTCGAAAAATAACAGTTTCATATTAAAAAAGAGATAGGCACTTCTTTTATTGAAAATTCTAAAAGTTATCATTTTCCAATGCGGCAAAATTATGTAAAATCGTAAAATTCATTTAAAATAATATTGTATAAACATCGGTTGTTAAAAAGTAATTATTTTAGCTCAGATATCATAATTGTTCACCAAACGATTATTCACCTGACACGTTTGCATAATTAGTACACGGTCGGTAATTAGACGTCGATTTTAGATAATTTATAATGCACATAAAATAAAATGTTATTCTATTACAAACAAAAAAGACAAAACGCATCCAATTATAGAGTATTTTAAATATTACGAACTATTAAAATATGGAGAAAATACATCCAATTAAGCTGGTCATTTATCAAAATGCAGAAATCGGTGCAACACAAAGACTACTTAATATACTTGTGGATAATAAATAATACACAGTATTTTTCAGAAAATGATTTTAATTACTGCTGTTAGTCTATTATAATTATTATTTAAATATTTTGCATAACTAAGTTATCAGTATTTACGGAAATTAATGCATGTTTAACTTCAGTGTTTTTTACATTCAGTTGGAAACGTATATTCAAACTGTGTGGAGCGCGACAAATTAATTGTACAACTACTAGTTTAAATAGAATTTTATCGATTTTTTTGAAGTTTTGTATTGAAGAGGTATTTATTGAATTATTTTTGCACATGTACATATATAAAAATTATATAGCAACAGCTCATATTTCTCTCAATTTCCAATTAATTGCAATTTCTAATTAATATTTTATTTTTCCAGATAGCGGAGCAATGGGCATCAGCCCGAATCCTTTACAACAAAGAACACCTTCGCCCCCTGATTTGAAACCAGTAACAGCACCGCCTCCAGGATCCCAAATGTTACACGTACGACCTCCATCTTCGCTTCTACCACCCTCATCGTTGTCAATTACGGCGATGGTGGGTACACCCCCAATTCTGAGTCAACAAGGCCCCCATCAAACGACAAGCATCAGTCCGGGCCCCAATAATAGATCTCCGAGTCCCACCCCTAGTGATGATGATGATCCGACTGCTCCAAGAAGGAAACAGAGAAGATATAGAACTACTTTTACCAGTTTGCAGTTGGAGGAGCTGGAGAGGGCGTTTTCCAGGACACATTATCCTGATGTTTT